TCCGGGCCGTGCGGGCGCCCGGGCGGCTGTGTGCGGGGAGGATGGGGGCGGGGAGCCTGGGCCGGCCGTTACCTGTCCTGGGTGTTTATCATCCTCGGCGGCTCTGCTCAGGGTGGGAGGAGGCGGCGCAGGGAGCGGGTAGGTGGATGAGTGGGTGGGTGTGGGGTCGCGCGCGCGGGCCGGTCTCTGCGGGCTAAGTCCCTGTCAGGCCGCGGGACCGAGCGGACTCCTCCTGCCTCAGCGAGCGCCTGCCTCCAACTGACCCTCCCCGGCTGCCGCCGCAACCGCCCCGCCCCCAGTGCTCATCTGCATAGCCCCACCCCAGCGCCGCACGGTGTCCTGGGAAACTGGGGCCCACAACAAAGGGCCAAGCACCGCCCCGCCTCCGCGCAGGCGCACTGGGACACGGGCCTGGGGGGTGGGGCAGGGGCCGGGCGGAAGGGCAGTGTCTGCGGGAGGTTGTGGCTAGGCCTGCCGTAGCACAACCCCAACAGCGCGTGAATGTCGGTCGTTTTCTGGGGACTGACCCCAGCTAGTCCTCCTTCCTGGCCTTTGTTTGGTGGAGCCTAGTGGGACAGTGTCATTTGGACACCTCAAGAGGTTTTTTTTCTTTTTTTTTTTGTCTTTTTGAGGCAGGCTCTCGCTCTGTAGTTCAGGCTGGCCTTGAGCTCACTTTATAGCTGGTCTCGAACTCGCGACGGTCCTCCTGCCTCAGCCTCCCGAGTGCTGGGATTACAGGCGTGCGCCACCCCGCCCGGCAAGAGGTTATTTTACGAACCAAAACGTAAGAATGCTATACATATATGAACACCATTCCTGGAGGAAGTTCCGAGCTCATAATGCGATCAGCAACCGCAGCTGTTGGCTGAGCTCGACAGCCTCGTCATCTCGGAGACACATCTCAGGTTGATGGTCCGCGCTCCCACCGCTGCCCAGGACCTCTGTAGGTTGTGATCACCGTCGGATCACAGCAGTCACAGGAGGCAGGGTCATGAGCCTGTTCACGGTAGCTTTGGGCTCCAGTCAGTGAGTCAGTCCATACAGTACGAAGCCCTCCGCTCAGCATCCCTGCTGCCGCTCACCACAGGTAAGTAAAAAGGTCCGAAGTCAGTCGCACCACCGTCACAGGCACTTCGAAAGTTACCACAGGCCTTGACTGCGCAGTCAGCCCAGACTGTAATCAACCCAGATTGCAGTCGTATCCCTAGTGCTACAAAAGACAGACAGACGTCGGTCGTACTCTCGGTGGGTGACTGTCACCTCACATCACCTCCACTCAGGCACTCAACTCTGATTATTGAGCAGGTGCTTACTCTGTGCTTCAGACATGGGTGACAGCGCAGGAATACAGGAGATCAGCGAAGCAGGGTTCCTGCTTCGGATGTTACAATCTGGGCTGGGAGAGGCACACGGAGAGGCGGTCACAGTACAGTCTGAAGGAGGCACGGGCAAAGCACCTAGGGAAAGACGGACAGCTCAGCAGAAAAGATGGTAAATAGAGTCCCTGTGACCTTCAGTTGCTTTTTTTTTAATACTTTTTTTTTTCTTTTTGAGACAGGGTCTCACTATGCAGTTCAGGCTGGTCTTGAACTCAATTTGTAGCCCAGGCTGGCCTCGAACTCACAAAAATCCTCCTGCCTCAGCCTCCCGAGTGCTGGGACTACAGGCGTGCACCACCACACCCGACCTCCAGTTTCTTAACAGCCCCATACCACAAAGATTCCCACAAGGGAGCCACCTCAGGACACATTCTACTTTTCATTTTCAGGTGATGGGGATACAGGGATGGAAGAAAGGTTGGAGCAGCCAGACTAAGGCCTTTCCTTCAAAAGTTAAAGTGGTAAGTGGTCCACATTGTCCGACTATCAGCAGCTACTTGAGCAGGGCTGATGCTGTGTACTTGTTCACTTTCAGACCCCCCCTTGTCCCTCAGCTATCCCTACTCTTTCAAGGTCAGGTCAAGTATACACTCATAGTACTGGGGGTTGAATCCTTCACCCTTTTTTTTTTTTTTTTTGAGAAATGATTTTGCTAAATCACTAAATTGCCCAGGCTGGGCTCAAACTTGTGATCCTCCTGCTTCAGCCTCCCAGGTTGCTGGGATTACACTCGTTGTCATTCATACGTAACACACTGGACAAGTAAACCCAGCCTTAACCCTCCTGGCCTTTACAAGGAACAGGGCTGGTCATCTCTGCCAGTCTGTATCTCTGGACAACTCATCCTCCGGCCTGAAGAGCAGTTTCTAGCCAGTCAGTCAGCAGTACTGAGAGGCCCTGTGTCAGTAACACCAGACTTTTATTGAACATCATACTAATGCACTAATTTTTCCAACAGTTCCTTGTCTTCATTTACAAATGAGAATTAGACCTCAGGGAGATTTATTCTGCCAGCTAATATTGTGTATGTGTCTATATATGTGTGTCTGTGTGTGTGTATCTGTGTTTGGGAGGTTGTTTTTGAGACAGGGTCTCACTTTGTAGTTCAGGCAGCAGAATTCACAATGATCCTCCTGCCTCAGCCTCCAGAGTGCTGGAATTACAGGGGTGCACCACCACGCCCAGCTTTTGCCAGCTAATATTTATTAAGAGTCTGTCTAGAGCCGGGTGTAGTGGGGCACGCCTGTGATCGGGAGGCTGAGGCAGGAGGATCATTGGGAGTTCGAGGCCAACCTGGGCTACAAAGTGAACTCAAGGTCAGCCTGAACTGCATCGAGAGACCCTGTCTCAAAAAAAAAAAAAAAAAAAAAAAAAAGCTGTTAAGTGATGGAGTTAGAATTTGGAGCCAGAGTTGCCTGATTGCTGTACTCTGTCTAGATTCACAAGGTGGATAAGTCAGAAGTTCTCAACCACAGGCTGCTGTTTTAAAGGAAGCCACTCTCTTGGGAGGCTGTGGCAGGAGGAGTGCCGAGAGTTGGTACCTAGCCTGGGCCATATACCAAGACCCTGTCTCTAAATAAATAAGTAAATAAAGCAAGCCACCCTGATGGGCACCATGCCAGCAAGTCAAAAATTCACAAAGATGCCGGGCGTGGTGGCGCACGCCTGTAATCCCAGCACTCACGAGGCTGAGGCAGGAGGATCGTTGTGAGTTCAAGACCAGCCTGGGCTCAAGGTGAGTTCAGAACAGCCTGAACTGCATAGCAAGACCCTGACTCAAAAAAAAAAAGGAAAAATTCACAAAGATTCCCCCTTTCCTCTCAGCTGTGCTATCCTTTTTTTATTTTTTTTTTTTATTTTTTATTTATTTATTTTTTTTTTTTAAATTTTTGAGACAGGGTCTTGCTGTGCGGTTCAGGCTGGCCTTGAGCTCACTTTGTAGCCCAGGCTGGCCTCAAACTCTCAACAATCCTCTTGCCTCAGCCTCCCGAGTGCTGGGATTACAGGTGTGCGCCACCACGCCAGGCTTCAACTGTGCCATCCTAAGTCATAGTCCCTATTTAAATATAAATGAATTAAATGAAATAGGGCTGGGGGTGTAACCTAGTGGTAGTGATCATGAAGAGGACCTTTTTTTGGGGGGCGGGGGGTACCGGGAATCAAACTCAGGACCTTGTGCTTGCCAGGCAGGCACTTGTACCACTGAGCTATATCCCTGGCCTGTAACTTAGCGGTAGAACCCTAACATAAGTGAGGCTCCAAGTCAGATCCCCAACACCAAAACAGAGAGAAAAAAAAAGCAGGACAAAGTGGCACAGTGGATAGGCCAAGGCAGAAAGATCACAATTTTGAGTGTACTCTTGACAAGACCCTGCCTCAGTTTAAAAATAAAAGGGGAGCCAGGCGTGGTGGCGCATGCCTATAATCCCAGCACTCGGGAGGCTGAGGCAGGAGGATCATTGTGAGTTCGAGGCCAGCCTGGGTTACAAAGTGAGTTCACCCTATCTCAAAAAGACAAAAAATAAAATAAAATAAAAATAACCCTTAGGCTATAACTACTTGTTAGATCTTTCTTGCATATCTCTGTCTTCCTGAGAAACCACTTTGAAGATACCACCATGTATTACAGCAGCCACTGATATTTTCCTACTAATCTGTCCATAACTCTGTAACGTTTGTATTGTTCCTATGCTATTTCGTAAATGGATGTATGTTTATTACTATGTGTTTCCTACAATCACCATTGAGAAGTCAATGATTATTCAGTTGATTATTCACTGATTATTCACTCATGTATAGCTGTATTTATTTTGTTTAGAAACCATTTTGAAGATACCAAAGTATAGTACAACAACCATTGATAATCTCCTACCACTTTTGTCTGTAACTCACTATTATTTGTCTGTTTGTTTTCCTCAGAAACTATCTTGTAGATAACAATATGTAAAACAACCACCATTGATAATTTCCTACCACTTTGTCTGTATTTCCATAAGCCCCCCCCCCATTACCATGTTATCCTTCTTTTACTCTTTAAAATAAAAAAATAAAATAAAAAATAAAATCAAAGGGACTGGGAATGTAGCTCAGCAGTGTAGGGGCATCCTTACCTTTTCGTGAGACTCAGTGAAATGTTTATAGATGAAGTGATATGCCCAAGATTAGCTTCAAAAGGAGGAGAAGAGAGGACATGGATGAGACCAGTAGCTGCGCAGTAATGACTGGGACTCATGCTTTTAACTTGTATGCGCCTTTGCTGTTATCCACCGTAAATAGGGCTGGGGATTTAGCTCAGGGGCAAAGCGCCTGCCTGGCAAGCGCAAGGTCGTGAGTTCGGTTCCCAGTACCAAAGAAAACCAAAAAAAAAAAAAAAAAAAAAAAAAAAAAAAAAAAAAAAAAAAAAAAAAAAAAAAGGAAACAGAAATTACCACAGTAAATAAAAAAATTTAGAAACAAAACAACAAACCTCAAGCCACTGTGGTGTGGCATCCGACATCGTCCCCACCCCTCCACGGAGATCGTGCCCGTCCTGTCAGCATCACAGCTGGTGTGTGAGTGACACATGCAGAGCCGCTTCCGTCTTGTGACTCGGCTTTGAGAACAGCTACAGAGGTGGCTGCCCCAGCGCCCCAGCCGCTCTTGTGCACGCCCCCTCCTGCGTCACCAGTGCTCCTGGCCTCTCAGCGCTGGACGCGCTGTCCCTGCCAGATGTGTGGGACCCTCGCAGTCCTACGGCTCCTCCACACTCTGCTGCACCATCCCTTTTTTATTTTTTATTTTACGTATTTATTTTTAATCTTCGCCACCATTTATTTCCCCCAAAGGAGGCACCATTCCTAGAGCCACTAAAATACCAACCAGGTCGATGTGCAGAGTAGACGGAGCAAGCTCCCCATTCCTTCTCCCAGCTCTG